CGCTGACCTTAAGGTTCGCAGCCTGATTCGTAACCACTACGCTACCAGAGCTCCTTCTTTCCTTTATAAGATCAGATAATATTCCATTACACAAAAGCACTACATTATGTTTATTCACTCTTTAGCTGATGGGCCAGACATTTTTTGTGATTGCCTTTTTAATAATTCTAAGTCAAAACCAACTGCCCTGCTCCCAGCTGAAAATTCACTTCCTCCAGTCTAGAAAGGCCTGCCACAGGGAGCATCTCCCCTCCTGCCACTCACCTTTTCCTGGGCGGACCTGGCCACGCTTGAGACTTGCTGGACTGCCAGCTCCAGGGGCTGCTGTAATGGGTCCTCCTCAAAGGTGAGAAGCAGAGGGCCCTGGAACAGAAAAGGAAGATAAAGACATATGCACATGGGATTTGGCATGAATGTTTTTGTAAGTTGCACATTTGCTATAAACTTCTGCAAATTTAAGAAAACATAATGAGACTGGCTTTTAGTTCAACTGTACTTCTGTACTCGTATAACTGTTGTTGTGGCTGTTAACTGCCATCAAGTTGGCTCTGACTCCTGGCAACCTTATGCATAACAAAATGCTGCCCCTATCCTCTGCCATTCTCAGGCTTACTGGTGCGTTTGACGTCACTGTTGCAGCTGTTGTGTCAAATGACCTCACTGAGGTGTCCCTCATTTCCACCGACCTCCTACTTTATCACAGATAATGACCTTTAATAGCAAATTCTACAAAGTTGCCATGGTCAAATACCAACCAGTTCGCACGCACATGAACCAGCTTGCTGTGGATCACAGCCTGCCAGGCAAGTGGGAGCCAGCTACGGCAAAAATACAACAAATGAAGCAAAGAATAGCATTGAAACCACAACCTATGTATCTCCCATGCTGAAATAAGGACTGTGGTTTTGGATCATGTTTGCAATGTAAGGAAAGAGCACAGCATCCTCGGGCCGGGCTGCTCCATGCTTCTCAGGGGTCTGTGAGCTAGCATAGGCTCAAGGCCTGGGGTCTTTGGGTTTTTTGGTGAAGGCCCTTGTTTTAGATGGAATTCTGTCCACTAAAAAAGATATGCTGAAGTTCTAAGCCTCAATGCCTGTGAACATGACCTTATTTGGAAAAAGGGTCTTAGAAGATAGCATAGGGTGGGTTCTAATCTCATCCAACTTCTGTCTAATAAAAGAGAAGAAAGAGACACATATATAGACACTGGGAGAAAATGCTATGTGAAGATACAACTACAAGCCAAGGAACACAAAGGATTGCTGGGAGACACCAGAAGATAGGAGGAGACATGGAATAGGTTCTTCCTTGGGAGTCCCCAGAAGGAAACTACATGGCTGATTCTTTGATCTGGACT